AGCGGCTTGTAACTCTGTGCATACTGTACGTGCATGGGCTCCGTCCCTTGAACGACCTTTTAGGGGTGTGGGTTATGTGAATACATTTTCGTATTAGGCCTCTGCTTCAGCAGCGCCGACTTCTTGTCTCTTAAGTGGTCTATGTAATAAGTACGCTCCTACTTGTGAAATCAATTTTTGATTTCTTTAATATACATTGTTCAGACAGAGCTATGTTGTTTCTGAAAAATAGATCGCGGTGGTACGACAGGTTCATTTTTAGAAAGCCACGTCAAGAACCTGTAGTACGTGCAGGTTAATGATTTTCATTCCGGATATCGTTTTGAAGCTCGATAGGGCTAATTTGAAAACAGGCTCTGGCGATAGAAATATTTTGATTACACACGTGTAATGTATCGGTAGAAATCAAGAACCTTTGACAAATAGAGCTACATGGTATAGATAAAAGGGATTTAAAATTTGTTTCAAATGATTATATTGAAAATGTTGATATTATCCTCGAACATTTGTCGAAATAAATTTCAAAGTACCAAACCATTTTTTCCTGTTATGAGCGCTCAAAGTCTCGGTTAATTCACCTTGGACCATTTTGTCCGGGTTGGCGCTTGGGGCGATTTTGTCCCGGACCATTTTGTAAGGGACCGTCTTGACTGGGACGATTCTCACTGAGACGGTTTTGTCCTACTCCCTCAGTAGATCGTGTAGTCACTCCCGCAACTCCATACGCAATCCGTTATGGTCTCCGCTATACAGTTTTTTTTTAATTAACAGATTTGTTTAAAAAACGCAGTGAAGTTATACTAATGCGGTCTCCGCAGTTGAGTTATAGGGCTGGAGGCACATAGTATAGGGGGCTAATCGTAACCATCCGTCGGCTAATTAATTAGAAATCGTTAATTAGGTTTTTCATTAACAAAAATAGGCATATCGTTCAATTAGAAACTTGCTCAGCTTCATCATAAAACCACTAAATCAACTCTTTTTATGAGGATATAACGCGGGGCTAGCATTTTGCGGCGTTCTAAAAGGTGCTCAGTTTTGACGTGTTTCTAGGCTTCGCTTTCTTATCGGAGCGCATCTTCGCTCCCGCGCTCCTGCCCCCCGGTGGTCGCGGCGCGAAGCCACCCCCTCGCCTCCCTCGTAGCATGGAGGAAAGTTAGGCGCACGTGTGTTGCGCGTCTCAGCCACTGGGGAGCAGGACCGCGTGCGCAGAGATGCGCTCTGATAAGAAATCGAAACCTAGAAACGCGTTCAAATTCAGTGTTTTTACGGAACGTCGTAATATGCTGCCCCTGCGCTATATCCGTCTAAAAAGAGTTGATTTAATGGTTTTCGATGACGCTGACCAAGTTTATATTGGGAACCATATCTCTATTTGTAATAATTGAAAAGTTGATTAACGAATTATAAATTATTCGCCGACTGATCGTTACGAGTAGCCCCCTATACTATGTCCCCCTGGTGGTATAACTCACCTCTACAATCGGCATAAGTGTAACTTTCACGGCTTTTTTTTTAAACAAATCAGTTAACTTAAAAAAAAAACTATATACTGTAGGGGAACTACGTTTTTATGTTTTAGTAGAATGTTTGCAACCCGGCCTAGAATATAGCGCCGCGAGAGCTTACACAACGCAATACTTTCAAGCTAAATTTAAAGGCTTGCATAGCAGTTGCTAGTGATCTTCTATTCATGTCGCTATCTAGATAAAATATCAATTTATTATCCAGTGCTTATGTTCATCTTTGCTTCTTTTATAAGCAGAGCTGCAAGGGGGAAACAGTAGCAGAAGTGACCGGCGACCGGAGCGGAAAAAATGCGACACGCGGCGCTGTTGTTCCTGAGCTCGCCGATACCGAGAGTGTCAGTCACGTTGCATGTTTCAACGCGGGGCAGTAAGCAGCCCATCCTAAAGCCCGCCTTTTAACAGCTATCTTATCCCTCAATTTTCTGGCGACCACCACCGCGTTGAAACATGCAACGTGACCGGCACTCTCGGTATCGGCGAGCTCAGGAACAACAGCGCCGCGTGTCTCGATTTTGCCGCTCCGCTCATCGGCCACGTGTGCTACTCTTTTTCTGTTGCAGGAGTACGTCCAGTACGTTTGCGACGAGTAGACTTGAGATACACATTGTTCACGTCGGGTTGGCTTAATCACGCACTACAGCCGCGCTCGTTTCGCGACGCAAGAGGAACCGCGTGATAAAAGAGCAACTCGGCAGCCAAAAAAATGCCAGTTTCTTTTTTTTTTTTTTTTTTGAGGGGGGGGGGGTATTGCGTTATTTGATATGTGGCAGGAGATACAGCGCAGCGCAAGCTAAAAAAACAGCGGTGAACCGTCAGCTGTAGTGAATCGTCGGTTCCTTGAAGCCCGCGGATCCGCCCTCCCTCCCCCACTTCGCCCCGCAACCAGAATGGAATGTAAAAGAGCTTGTTGTTGGGCTAGTTGGTGTTGACTGTATTGAACCATGGTTAAAAGCGCTAAAAAGACGTATTCAAGATAGAAGCGCCTGTGTTTGTCTTCCATCTTGCGTACGCCTTTTTAGCGATTTTAACCATGGTTCAATCCAAAATGGAATGTCTGTGCGACGCTTTTTTCAAAGTGGACTCTTCCGGAATGAACAGTTGACCTTGTTTTCCGGATCGATTGCTTCGTTCCTTCGCCGAATCGTCATTTCGGTGTCATTTCTTGCGCGGGGCCATGTTTCTTGATAAACGCGTGTTCCCGCAAGCCGGTAGGAGTCTCGATGTTGACGGACGAAAACGTGTGTCGGAAGCATTCGCTCGTCGCCATTCAGTGCTCTCTTTTCGACTGGATATGCTGTTCTGCTTTACTCAGAACTTAAATAAACGCCGCACGGATTATCTTTCGTTTCATAGTACGTGCTCTTTAATTCAAGAGTATACGTTGCTCGCGGAGGTGACGGGGGCAGGAACCTAAAGAAAGGGTCGACCCGAAGAAAGCAGCGATCTTACAGCTAAATAATCACGCAAAAAAAAAAAAAAAAAAAACAAGGTTACGACGATGCATTTTCCGTGCGCACTACTTGTCATTAAAGTCAAAGCAAGTAAGCAGGCGAGCTGGTTAAGGGTAGATATAGTTTGGTGTCTGTCTGTCCGTTTTTTGTTCCCTCGCTCCTGGATTACAATGTCTACTTGTCATGCAGCAAGCAACGCGAAGAAAGTGGTCGTACCTGCCCTGCCAGTGATAAATCGCCACCTGTACTTATCGCAGGAGCAAGGTTTCATCCAACATAAAATCCGCGATCTTGAAGCGAAGTGGGCACATACGGCGTGATTCTCGCAAGACACACGCCACGCAATAATTTTCTATAGGCGTGTAAAGAAAATTGATTGGTTCCTAGTATTTAGAGTAAGGGCCATAAAATTTTCTATAGACGGGTAAAGAGAATTTATTGGTTCCCAGCCTTTAGACTCGGGCCATAGCATTTTCTATAGGCGGGTAAAGAACATTTATTGGGGCCTAGTCTTTAGACTCGGGGCCATAGCATTTTCTATAGGGGGAAAAGAAACTTTAATGGTTCACAGTCTTTAGACACGGGGCCATAGAACTTTCTTAAGGCGGGTAAAGAAACATTAATAATTCCCAGGCTTTAGACACAGGGTGATAGGTTTTTCTATACTTGGCTGTAGCTGCATTTATGAATTTCTATGGCCGACCATAGAAGGCCATTGGGGGAGATAGCCTGCCATAAAATTTTTCATAGACGACCATAGACCATTTTTGTATGGGTTACTTTGACCAAACAACCGAAGTGAAGAAATCGTTTTATGATTCCGCTCGTAGACCCTCGTAGACCCTCTTCTAGTGATATAAACGTGCTGCGCAGAAGCGTGCGCAAAAGACTATAATCCGTACAATATTAATTTTCAGCCATATGTATCTGGAATAAGAAATGTTTGTTTTGCGATGTTTTCTGTTCCACGCTAGACCCTCCTCCAAAGTCGGCGACAACGGCTGTCTGCCATTGCTTGCTGACATACTCTGAGCATAGATTGGATATGAGGGTGACGTCAGAGTTCGGCGTCAACTCGGGTCCAATCGCGCGCATCGTGTCCAAGCAATGGAGACCGCCAATGCCGCCTCGTGGAATCTTAAAAAGGATCCTTTGCGCAGTTCATTTATTTCTAAGATCTACAGGGTGTTTCGCAAAAAGTGGAGAAATTTGACATTGCGAAAACTACACGTCGCAAAAAAAAAATGCTTGCGTCGTTTTGGTTGTGGTCCAGAAGCCTATTTAAGAAAACTATTAAAGTCCGGGATAAATAGATTGTTAAGTATCTTCGGGTAATTAACTTTTTAATATTGTGATTAAGGACATGGTTTTGATTAACAAAACTGCTTCATATCAGTGAAAATGACTAAATCAACAAATTGCAGAACGATAGAAGGCACGCGAAGCATTTTACGGCTTTCTGAAAAACCGCACAAATTCGACGGGTTTTTAAGTTTCGGTTTGCAATCGGAGGGCATCTCGACCCCGATGGCACCGCGCCCTGTGGAGAAATGGTGCAATCAACCTCTGCTGCGCTGTCCTCACGCAGCGCATTAAAGGCAGGTTGCACAATTTCTCCATGGGGCGCGATGCCGTCGGAGTCGAGATGCGGTCCGATTGCAAACCGAAATTTAAAAACCCGTCGAATTTGTGCGGTTTTTCAGAGAGCACCAAAATGCTTCGCTTCCCTCTATCGTTCTGCGATTTGTTGATTTAGTGTTTTTTGATTATGCTGAGCAATTGTTTAATTGAAATCATGTCTTTAAACACAATATTAAAAAAGTTAAACACGCAAAAACAATGAACACCCTAATTATCCCGGACTTTAATACTTTTCCTAAATAGGCCCCTGGCTCAGGAACAAAACGACAGAAGCCTTTTGTGTTGCGACGCATAGTTTTCGCAGTATCAAATTTGTCCATTTTTCGTGAAACACCCTGTATATTGCACGGAGCATCCAGGAAAGGCGCCATCTCTTTACCTTGTCCGCGCAGGAGGCCGCCTTGCGTTTTCCACCTTCTCCCGGAATGGACGGGGTCCGAGCACCGCCTCCAGGAGGACGACGAAAACCTTGCATGTGCAACTCTTCGTCGTGAGGCTGGGCATACTTCACGTGGTATTGGCCATCGATGCGATGTGTTTTCAAGGCTGCACTGCACTCAGGAAGGTCGCATATAAAAGTGGCCCCATTGCAACCATATGTGGAACGCGTGAACCTATGTCCTCCATGCGTCGTCTTGACGACGCCATTACTCATTTTTATGATGTTCACCGTTGGATTGGTAAGGGCCCGCGAAGCGGCCGCGGAACACTTATCTATGTTGCCGCCAGTCGAGTTGGTGTGTGCAGCAGGCTCGATGGACGCCGTCGAAGTGGACGCAGAGGACGCCATTGCAGTGCCGTTAACCAGATTGCTCCGGATGCGCGCTCCGAGTTCCACGTGATCTAGTGGTCACACCAGGATATGCGTCCTGTAAAAACGACGCCGTGAGATTCACCGGAAAAGCTAGAAAACCAGAGCTGCGAAAAGATAAGCGAGTATTTAGTAGTAGCTACAGTTTAAAGGGGAGATGCAACAATTTTGTACTTTCAGTAGATACCGCTTAGAGTTATCCCCCGACAGTTACAACCTACAAAGCTCTCGTAGTGTTTTCTTTCTCCACATAATAGCAGTCGCAGAAAAAAATACGCAAAAAAATTTCGCACTTCTGTGCAAATCCACAGTATACAGAGTGATAGCGGCGATGTCACGGCGAAGCCGTCGGGTATCAGCGTCGCGTTCATGCACAGTAGGGTGTGTGAACAAAGGCTTTTTGAAACAAAATAGAAAACAGACCTTCTAGTATCGAAAGATTTTGTTTCTTTTCTGCTCCAGAGCGTGTAAAAGCGCTTCTTTCTGCACGAGCTTTTGGCATTCACAGTGCTACAACGACATTTCGTTATAGGCCATTTGTCTTCCAGAGGACGCTTGCAATGGGCAACGCGTACTACAAAAACCCCATATATTAAACGGGTTGTTAACTGTGTGGCCTAGCTGGGGCTCAGTAACGTCTGTGTTTCGCACGCAGCTGGCCCCTGCGAGCAGCTGGCGATCTTTTTCGATGATTTCGCAACGTCGACGACGGGCGCCTTAAAGCCCTGTCACACTGAGGCAACAGTTTGACAACTCTATTCGGCAAAACGGGAAAGTCGTGTTGCCGGCGACCCTGTCACATCGCGGCAACAACAACAGTCGGGCAACATGCTGCTACCGCCCGGCAACCGTGTTGCCAGATTTTTTATACGACAACCCTGTCACACCGCGCTGACGGCGAGGACAACACGGGGAACACTCCGCCATCTTGATTGTTTACCTACGTTCGTGTGCGACGAGGAATCGCTGGAAATATGACTCTACAAAGTGCAAGTGCGTTCGAAGGGCCGGAAATTACCACAGTACGACTTCAACCAGTGACTGCGATTAGAAAACTTGACACGGAGAGTATTTTCCGCTCTTTATTTTATCGAAATGTTCTTCATTCGTTGAGAAAGCAGATTGCCCTAACTGAGGAAAGTGACATAGTTGATATATTTTCGGTATTTACGCCACCATATGAAGTGTTTCTGTCCAGTTCTTTCATGCAATTCGTATGTCTACTGGAAAATTGAGGTAGGACCGGCAGTACCCCAAAGCGTCTTTTGTAGCGTGGTGTTGAGCTGAACTGACAGTGCTTCAAAACTGCGACACCGACACATTCGGCCTTCATAACAATTGGTGGAATAAATATTTTTCAACGCTGCCTATTTGCCTACCGCCTGCTATATGATCGCTTTATTCCCCCAAAACGTCCTGTGTATTTTGAAGACAAATCAGGTGTCTGGTAGCGGCTGTTTCCAAGTTCCAAGCATCAACAATCAACATCAGAATGGTCGTTTTAATGCTTCGATTTTTTAATATTCGGTTTTCTGGATTCTTTTTATCATACTTTATCAGCGGGTGAGTAGGCATACCAGTTTATTTTACTATTAGTAATGTGAGCTGGTCTCCGGGCAGTTCTAATTTCAAAACTAGTCTGAACGTTTAGCTGTGACCATTTCCGTAACTACGCAGCAAAAACATTACTCGCAAATATTTTAGCTGCACGCCAGCCCTAATTATTGTTAATTAACGTTTTACAAGCCTTTATTTGAGTAACAGGTTATTGATAGGGGACTAGCTCAACCATCGAAGCTATATATGTTGTCGCTCAGCCAGCGATCAGGGCAATACACGTTGTCCGACACAAGTTGCTGCTGTTTTTGTTGCTGAAAGCTGTCATACCGAGGCAACATTTTAGTTGTCGTCCATGTTGTCGTGCTGGTGCCGCGATGTGACAGGTTTGTCGGACAACATGGGGAGCCAGCAATAAGTTGCCCAACTGTTGGACAACGTGTTGTGTTGCTGTTGCCGTCGTGTTGCCTTAGTGTTACAGGGCCTTTACAACGCCAACTACAACATTAACGACTAGGACATCAACACAACAACAACGGACATCATTTCCGAAGGCAAAAAGTCCATAGCCGCTATCGCTGTGAAAGGAACAGCGCTCACCCTCTCAACTCGCAGCCACCAGCGGCCACGTGATCTGGAGCCGATTAACTTCCGCTAATGTTTAAAGAAGGGCGATCAAAAAGTTTTTCAGCGTGGCAGAAGATTCCGGCTCTTTACATTTTTTCCACCTCCCCTTTCCTGCTTTTTTTTCCTCCTTGCTTTTCACGTCCTTCTCGCACGAGTGCTAATGGGCTTACCGGCCCCCGGACACAATCTTTGGAACTTTTCAAGGTTCTCTGCTTCATTCCCAAACAACAGGGATTAGTCTGGCACGCTGGATATAAGCTCGGTTTTCTCTCTTTTTTTTGTACGCTTTTTCTGCAGCTCTAAAACACACTCAAATACTTCCGCATGTGGACACAACGTTACAACACCGCATATTTATCTCGAGTGAATGGAACTTGAACATCACAGCGGAAGGCAAAAAAAAAAAAAAGGTGGGTATTTTTCTGAACTTTGAGCTCTACCCAGAGAGCTAAAAATTGGTCGTTCTAACAACGGCACACTGAAGAGTGATTGTATCGATATTTTGTTTTCTTGTTCAGAGTAATAATCATTAGTAAATACAACTCGACAATATTACAGTAAGAGGGCAAACCATATATAATTAGTTGAATTTCGACAATATAATCACACATCGAAATGAACACGGCCTTGCCATTTCTTTCGCGTAATATATGTGTTCGTACTACAGGTGTTTTCTAGAGTAACGGTCGCCTTGTTGAAGCAACTAAGAAGAGTAAAAAGCAAACTTCCATGAAATGTGAATTTGTTTATAGTATATTTCATGTGTATTCAGCCGTTGAAAAAACTATCTTCGTGGTCAACAAATGTAACTGAAAACTCGACAGGCGACAGACAGATATATTGCGAATCAGCAAAGAGAGCGGGAAAGACGGTGATTGAATCGCAAAATCACAATTTTCTTCGGAAAAAATAGTCCAACTAGCAATAATAGCATATTATGCCATATATCAAACGACAGCAGGTATTTCGAAGTTTTCATTCTCTTCTGTTTCCATTTGTTCGCAGATTGGGAAATGAAATGCCCAGATTGCCTCTGCAGCCCTTGCATAAATTTTAGAGTAAGAGTGGGCAAAAGCCACGACCATCTCCAAAAAAAAAAACAGAATTTCGGAAGATGTACTACCGTACGTTTTGGGGCTGCTTGGCTAATTGAGGCGTCTGGCGTTGCCCGGCCTGCCTAGAAAAGAAGCTGAACAACGGCCAGCTCAACCTCATCACCAAGCGGGAAATCCTGCCGAAATATGTCCTTGAACACGTGCGAGATCTGCACCCGAACCCAGCCGGGAATCGCTACATGGGACACAAGTGAGAATAGGGGACATTGATTGGTCAGTGCACATGTAGCTTTTACTGTGAAATTCAAAATAACACAGAGGAAGGTCATCGCCAAACCCATGTGTGACCGAACTACTGCCTGTAAACCCATTGAGAGTTTTTGCATGCCATATTACGGCTCCCGGAATGCTCGTAGAATGTGAACTGACGTATTCTTAAATCCCTGTCTTGACATGGTGGGAAGCCCTGAGTAGCGAATTTTGAGCAAAGTTGCCGATTTAAAGTACTCCACTCATGATTGCACAGACAGGTCCCTCATCACGGAGATGGCATCAAGAATTATCATTTTGAGGCCAACAGATCGTTACAATTAATTCCTAATTAATATATGAAACAAACTAGAAAAAGAGTGTGGCTTGGGAAATTCGGAAATTCTTGAATATAGTCTAGCGGGCTAACTCGCTACTAGTACTGAAAGAAACAAATGCAGAGCTCTGTTGTGTTATTTATAGTGTTAGCAAACATCTTCCGAGATTTGCAGCATTTTAATACAAGCCTAATAAATTAAATGTTTAGGACCAATTACCCAACATTTTAAATGTTTTAAGAGCTGAAATGTCACTTGGAAAGTTTTAGAGCTCCTTACGAAACACCCGAATCAGCTGTTTTGCAACGTGATACGGCTCGTATGGGTTTCTTCTTACCAGTAATAAAGCTTTTGAAACATGAAAGAATACCCCGTGATAAAGCGCTTGCCCCATCATAGCCTCAATTTCCAATGTCCCGGATTTTTTTATAGGCCAAAAAAAAAAAGCCCACAAGGCGCATGCCCCATGCTTTATTTGTATCACAAGAAAACGGCCCTCTGTTTTAAATACAGCGTTTTTTTAACCTACTAGATATTAAAAAAAACCATCAAAATTAACGCAATTGCGGTTTGTGCATGTCAGCTATACGGCCAAGCGAAGACTATGTAAAACAAAAAAGCCACAAATAACCGACTGAATACCTAAATTTTACTAATGACCTTTTTAATTATTAAAGAAAACGCAATAGTTTATTTAGAAAGTTGTTAAGCATACTCGAAAGCCACCAAACAGTCCATTCTTAAAAAGATGAAACGCGCGTGCACTGTTATACGGCGTCCTGAAAAACCTCCTAACTTGGGCGCGAAAATATAGTTCTGATTTGGTGTGGCCTCCATCTCCGCTTGGCGGGGACCTACGCCATGAAGCCTAAAGGCCCGTTCACACTCTTGCGACTGCTTGCAACCTCTTAAACCTGGGTTCCTTAAAACTTCTTAAACCAGAGAACACACTGGCGCCATCTATTGGGAAGCAGTGTAAACTCGGCGGTCCGGCATATTTTTTTTTATTTCTCGCGCAATATCCTTTCTTTTTTGGCTCGAAAAACTTTTGTCAATGTTATAAACGAGCCTTTCTATGGGTATTACGCACATTTGACCTCGGAAATCCCGCAAAACCTTCGCTTTTGTGAAATGCAGTTCTAGGGTCACCGCATAGATGGCGCCACAATGTCAGTGTGTCCCCTCATTCTAGAAACATTTAAGAAGTTGTAAGAGATCTCGTCTCTCTCAGT